CTGTTTGCCAACAATTAAAAAGAATATGGAGAAGGTCAAATTGGTAATTATTGTTTAATAAAGCTTTTATTTGTAATTTTTGGTAAAGCTTAAAGCGCATAACTCAATAAAGTTCTAGAGAAATGTATATACAGTTGAACTTCCCTAACTCGAATCACCATAATCCGGATAATCAATTCGAGTTAGAGTGACTTCGAGTTATGGACGGATATCTGTATGAAATTTTACTTCTATTGTCCATTGAAGACTTCGCGTTATAGAGAACTTCGTATTATGTAAGTTCAACTGTATTTTTTATTTTGGAAATAAGTTTTCTGTTCATTTTCTTGCCAAAAATCTAGACTTTCTGTTTTTGAGTTCAGAGATTTTTTTCTAGCGAAACTGATTTTATTTTATTACTTAGCCAGAGAAGTATCCAGTTTCACTAAGTAATGTTTATCTTAGACTCTAACTCGGAGTATGACTAATAACATTTAATGCAGGCCCAGTTTTTCAGAACAGATATTCTCAAATGTCCCTAAAAGTTTGTGAGGGCGATCTTTCAGCCTTCGGCACCACTCTTTTTTTTATAGAAAAAAACATTTTTGCTGTAAATGTTTAGCTACCTTTTGATGGTAAATTTCAGAACAACGAACATTGTCTTAAGGTTAAGCGACAAAAAACGCATCTGGGCTAATATTGGGAAAAATATGGTGGATGAAAAAAAAATCCGAAAACGTTTTACTATAGTTTTCATWGATTTGGGGCACGATGCACTGTCTGTATATTTTTACAATGCTTTGACATACACAAAGTTTCATGAGCGACGTTTCTAGTAAGTTCTTTTGGTATATTTCGAGTGCAGTCTCAATCGACTTCATTTTAAGGTCATCCAGTATCATCTGTGAATATTTTTATATATTTTAATCTGTAAAGGCCTCTTTTTGGCTTCCACTACTKTCAGCGGTGCTGTTGTAGCGGCAGAAAAGATTATTGAAATAATTTCGCAGAATGGTAACTCGGCTCAGTCCTTGGTTGGATAAAAATCAAGATCCGTTCCAGTTACTTAACCCCACAGTCATGGGAACGGTCCTCATGCAGCCTATCACAGAGCCCGAAGAACACTGAGCAACATAAAAAATATAATTCCATAAATATATAACTAAATATTTTCATAAATTTTCCTCACACCACTAAAACATGTGTCACTGAAAATTCTATATATAAAAAACATTATTCAAATGCTATGAAATTCTCTGTAGGTTAGTTGAACTGCAGCTTTGATTTCATGTTCTAAAATGTATTGTTGGTCAGTGTTTACTCTAAAAAAAATCTCACATTATCACTTCTAGTTCGAATTAAATGGTTGAGTTTGTGAAAGCAATCGTTAAATATTTAATCAAATTTCGCTTCTCATATCCTTAAAGCGGTCTCTTCTAGTGAAGAAATAATAAAGGCTTTTATTAAACCTTAAATGCTTTCTTTTCACACAAACCTTAGATTTCTACAACTAGAAACAAATATTTTGATCGATTCGGTTTATGCGTCAGTTTAAATAGGCTTCTTCTTCTTTATTGGCGTAGACACGTTTAYGCGGTTATAGCCGAGTTTACAACAGCACGCCAGACGTTCTTCTTTGCAAGACTGTTATTTCTTTTCCATTGGAGACGTTTTATGTGACCGATCCCAAACCCAGCGCACAACTCTGAGRAGAGATGGTTCGCCTTCTCGCTTTAGGTCGCCTTCAAGCGGATGCTTTTTGGCATTATTGAATACTTGATATAAGATCGTCGGAAGTCGTGAGTTACTTGAGCCATATATTATATAAAAGAATCGTTTATAGCCACTTTTAAGTGAATGGCACTCAGAGAACTTTCCTCACTTGCGTGAACTTCTACACATGACTCCATCCTTTAAATTATGTAAATAGGCTAGTCCGGCTCAAATTTGATAAATAGTAATTGAAATGAATTGAATGAATCACAAATTTTCAAATACATGTTTCATATTTTGTAAATATGTTAGTTTTAAGATTTGAGTTATTTATTTATTTTTGAGTAAAACACTTTGGCCATGCATTCGTCAAATACATAGGCAAATATAGATTCAAAGTGATTATATAGCCTATACYAAAAATAATAGCTTTTCACCAAAAAAAAATCAAATTTTTCAAGGTTACTACATTTCCATAAACGCTCTATTGCCGCAAGCAATTAAGCGCAGCAAATATTGAAAATAGTTCCAAAAACGCTCGCTTCAAGTGTATTTGCATATAATGGGTGCTGCCAACTGCAATTTGTTATGTAAATGTCGACGAAATTATTGCAATAAAGCCGATGTTGCAATTGCGGTTTGTTTGTTGCGTATTTGTTGTGATTGCCACATGCACTAACAGTGAGCGTAACTTGTTCGTGGAGAGCGCACGCTCCGTGCTGCTTGAGCTTGTCACGGTGCTTGACAAACGCGATTGCCAAAGTGGACCATATAAGGACTAAGCACGCATGCAAAACCAGTACAAAGTAATTTATGTACCGCTAAATGCTAACTGGGCCTATAAAAATATTGAAAATAAAATAGAAATTGAAATCAAATTGCAAATAAACGCAAATGGGAAAACCATTAAGGGGCACTCTCGACGATTCACGATAAAAGTGCGCATTAGCGACGAAAATGGGCATGATTGATTTATATTTCGWGTGCACGAGGGCAGTTGGATGGGTCGAGTGATTAATATATGTATTATCGTCGTTTTAGTAATCGTTTGCTTCAGTGTTGAGAGGATATGAGATTTGAGCTGAATAAAGAGTTATATGCATTTTTTAGGAGTAAAAATTTTTTTCTGATGAAACATATCGAGTATCGGAACCTTAACCTATGGAACAACACTCGTATGTATTTACATTTTATTTTTTATGCCTATATATGCAGTTGTTTTTGCGTTTGTAATACCTYAATAATTTTCAGTGATTATTTTTAATTACGCCTTCGCATTATACATTTTTGCAAAGCTTCTTTTTGTCGTTGTTGTCAGCATTTCTAATGCTGAAACATGGAATTTCCAATTTGGACAACTAGATAAACAAATAAACAACAAAAATTTGGTCAGTGGTGGCAATTTTGGGTCAATCGAAGCGCCCACACAAAAAATCAAGCCGATCAGGTGTATCAACATACATACAAACAAATCTATATACAATTAAGCAAATTGTTGATAGTGCGCATGATTTTGCAGAATTTGGTTTTTGTTGATGATTTTTTAAAAATATTTTTGCAATTTTTTTGACAAATTTTTTTTT